TTGATCTCACAGAGATCCACCTGCCTTCCAAGTTCTGAGATTAAAGGTTTAGTGACTCAGCCCCAGCTGGTATTTTTTATTTTTATTATTTATTATCTTTATGTGTATGAGTGTATTGCCTGCATGTACGTGAGTGCACCCGTGTTGTGCAATGCTGCAGAGGTCAGAAGAGGGCTTCGGATTCCCCTGGAACTGGAGTTAAGGATGGTTCGTAGCCGCCATGTGGGTGCTGGGAATTGAACCCGGGTCCTCTGCAAGAGCAGTCAGTGCTCTTAACCACTGAGCCATCTCTCCAACCCCTGGTATTTTAAATGAACATAAGAAAAAGAAAAAATGGAGGCTGGAGAGATGGCTCAGTGGTTATGAGCACTGGCTGCTCTTGCAGAGGACCCAGGTTTAATTCCCATCATCCACATGGCAGCTAACAACTGTCTGAAACTCCAGTTCTAGGGGAATCCAACACTCTCTTCTGACCTCCGTGGGCACTGCATGACACGGATGCACGTACATACATGCAGGCAGTACACTCATACACATGAAAGAAAAATATTTTAAAGAAAAAGAAAAAATGGCCAAAAGGTTAGATTTTTGTATTTTGAGACAGGATCTTCCTGCAGCCCCTGCAGCTGGCCTGGAACTTACTATGTAGACCAGATTAGCCTGGATCTCACAGAGATTGTGGCCTCTGCCTCTATCTCCCCCAAACTGTCCCTTCAGTGCTGGAACTAAAGGTGGGTACCACCACACTGGGCCCCAAGGTTAGATTTTTATGTAATTCTAAGAAACTAAAATATTCTGAATCAGTAAATATGTGTGGTCCATTTTTTTGTTCATTTTAACTAAAACTTCAGAAGACTTTGGAGCAGAGATCCACAGATCGTCCTTTTGAAAAACACTGATCTATTCATTCATGCAAACATTAGATAGATAACAGGTGCAAGCCTGTAATCCTAGCATGAGGGAGACTGAGGCAGGAGGAGCCTTTTGAAGTTTGCCAGGGATACACAGTACAGTACTATCTCAAAACAAAACAAAGCCCTCCAAAAGAATGATGAGCACAACTGAATCTCCTATTCAAAGTTCATAATAAATCAACCAATGAATTTCTTCTAAGTGAGAAATTCTAAAAACTGCTTATAGGGGCTGGAGAGATGGCTCAGGGGTTAAGAGCACTGACTGGTCTTACAGAGGACCCAGGTTTGAGTCCCAGCACCCACATGGTGACTAACAACCACCCATAACTCCAGTTCCAGGAAATTCGATGCCGTCTTCTGACTTCTGCAGACATTGCATGACACAGGTGCACTTACACACATGCAGGCAATACACTCACTCATACAAATAAAAAAATTTACAACTGCTTATAGATGCTGGGTATGGTGGCACACGCCTTTAGTCCCAGCACTGGAAGGCAGAGGAAGGTGGATCTCTGTGAGTTTAAGGTTAGCCTGGTCTACATAGTGAGTTTCAGGTCAGCTGGGGCTGTAGGGAGACCCCGTCTCAAAAAGACAAAAGAATTTTTAAAAATTAAAATTGCTTATTCTAAGGGCTGGGGATGCCAACAGCAAATATCTACCTGGCATGCACAAGGCCCTAGACTCTCTAGCACTATGGGGGGGGGGTACAAAAAAAAAAAACAAGCGAAGAAGGAAGAGTTTATTTGGATTATACTTCCAGAGGGATAAGAGTCCATCATAGTGGGGAGACATGGCAGCAAGAGGTAGTCAGAGCAGAAAACTGAGCACTCACATCTTTAAGCAGGCCCTGGAAGCCAAGCAAGAAACTGGCAATTGGATAAGCCTATGGGGGGCATTCATGTTCAAACTACCACATTATCTTTTGATAGTATCCCTGTTGATCAGATATATAACAAAGATTAAATAACCTGAGTCCTGCCTCCACAGGAAACACAGAAAATAACGCTAAGGCATATATATATATATAATTTTTTTTTTTTTTACCAGAGTAGGAAGAAGAGTTTACTAAGTACATAAGAGGCAGTGGGCTGGGCAGTAACAAGAACACCACCTGCAGCCTGGTCATAAATGCTTGACCTTTACCTCAGTCACTGAAACAACAGCCTGGACTTTCATGAAAGGCCCAAAAGAATTCTTGAGATCACAACCAAAAATATTTAACAAGAACTCATCCATGAGTAAAACTGGATCCATGAAGTTATTAAAACCAAACTTTTAGCTTTAAAAAATAGTGTTTCTAAAGAGAAATAATCAGAAATTGCTCTGATGGGATAAATATACAAGTAATCACAGCTGAGACCTTTGGGGAGAAATTCCAAATGTCATTTTGTTTATCACTGACCACAGGCAACAATGTTCAGTGGTTGGTGGTGTGTGTTTTGGGTGGGGTTATCATATGCCACATTTGCTAAGTGAAGTTAGCTGCTAATTTATATTATGAATTTGGTAAGGTATGCTGTCTGCCTAAATAACATTTGAAAACAATTTCTAAAGATTTTTAGAAAATATTTTGAGTGTTTCGTTAAAGATTTTTTAAAACATACTTTATGTGTGAGTGTTTTGCCTACATGTATGTGCACCATGTGTGCGGTGCCCACAGAAGCCAGCAGAGGGCACTGGATCCCCTGGGACTGGAGTTACAGATGCCGGTTAGCCCCCATGTGGATGCTGGAACCAAACCCAGGTCCTCTGCAAGAGCAATACATGCTCTTAACTGCTGAGCTATCTTCCCAGCCTCTCTAAATGATATTTTAAAACTCAATTTTATGTGTATAAGGAAGCAATCTGCACTTAGTCAGCTTTGTGATTTGTGACACAACACCTGAGATGAACAACTTAAGGAAAGCCTCGTGGGCTTAGTTTCAGGCTCCATTTTCTTCTGTGCTGGTGGTGAGGCAGAATATGATGGTGGGGAGTGTGTGACAAAGCTGCTCCTCCTCTCCCAGTGGCCAGGAAGGAGAGATCTACTTTCATAATAAAGTCTATTCCTTTTCTTTCTTTTTTTGAACTATGTATCACTGATACTTCTGAGTACTGAGTTACAGGCATTAACCACTATGAATTTTGTGGTGCTTTCTATTGCTATGACAAAGCACCTAAAACCCCTGATAAATCGACTTTAAGATGTTTTATCTTTATTTAAAAAAAAACATTTTAATTTGTATGAGTGTATTGCCTGCATGTAAGTGCACCCATGTCATGCAATGCCCACAGAGGTCTGAAGAGGGTGTCAGATTCCCCTGGAACTGGAGTTATAAATGGTTGTTAGGCACCAGGTAGGTGCTGGGAATGGAACCCAGGTCCTATGCAAAGCAGCCAGTGTTCTTAATTGAACAGCCATCTCTCCAGCCTCTTACTTTTTTATGTGCATGAAGTGTTTTGTCTGTATGCATGTACATGCACCACATGCATACAGTGGCTGTGGAGGGCAGAAGAGGGCACTGGATTCCCCGGAACTGGAGTTACAAGTGGTTGCAGACGAAATGTGGGTGCTGGGACCCAAACCTGGGTCTTCTGCAGAGCATCTAAGAGCCTTTCTTTAAAGTTGATTTATCGGGGCTGGAGAGATGGCTCAGCGGTTAAGCGCACTGACTGCTCTTGCAGAGGACCTGGATTCAATTCCCAGCACCCACATGGAGGCTATGAACCATCCTCAACTCCAGTTCCAGGGGAATCCAACACTCTTCTGACCTCTGCAGCAATGCATGGCATGAGTGCACTCACATACATGCACACAATACACTCATACACATAAAGTAAAAATAAATAAAATATTTTATATAAAGTTGATTTATCTTGGAGCTGGAAAGATGACTCTGGTTAAAATAAATTTTTTTTTTTTTTTTTAGAAGTTTATTTTTCTTTCTGAGACAGGGTCTCCCTGTAGCCCCAGCTGGCCTGGAACTCACTATGTAGACCAGCCTGGCCTTGAACTCACAGAGACCCACCTGGCTCTGCCTCCCAAGTGTTGGGATTAAAGGCATATGCCACCAAACCGAGCAGTTAAAATCTTAAAATAACAAAACAAAACCCCAGAAAAGGGCCTGTCAAATGGCTCAGCGAATAAAGCATTGGCCATACAAGTCTGCTGACCTAAGTTCCATCCTCAGGACCCACATAAAAGATGGAGAAATGACTACACAAAATTATCCTCACCTCTACATGGGGGTCATGGTTTGTATGGCCACATACATACACATTTTTATTTTAAAGGAAAGGTTTATTGTGGCTCACAGTTTAGAAGTTATGATCCCTAGTTGCTTGATATAGTTCTTTTTAGGCCTGTGGTAAGGCAGAACAGCAAGGCAGAAGTATCTTGCTGAGGAAAGATGCTCAGCTCATGACTGCCAGGAAGCAAAGGAAAGAGAACCTATTTTATGTAACAAAAGATACCAACCAGCACCCATTTAAGCCATGAGCCCTCTAGGGGTTAATCCCTTGGTAAGATTAGTGCCCTCAGGATCCAATAACCTCCCAAACGCCCCGCCTCTGAACACTGCTGCACTGGGGACTAAGCCTTCCACACATGAGCTTTTGGGAGAATTGAAGATCCAAACTAAGCTTTGTGTAGTGGTGCACACCCATAGTCCCAGCCTAGACCACACAGTGAGACCCTGTCTCAAAACACCATGACAAAATAAAAACCAAAACTTCCAAACTCTTATCATGCACTTATTTTACAGATTTCCTAAGTCAGAGCTTTTGTTATGACCCTGGGTGTAGGTCATCTTTACAGAGGTAGCCCCTTGCATAGCCAGAACAGCAAATGAAACACGCCGGATCCAAGTTCTGCCTTTAAAGAAAACCTGGTTAAAGTACAGAACATTTCCAAATGTCAAACCAATGTTCCCAATTTCTTGAGGTATTTTCTCCTTCCTCTCAGTTGCTTGTAAGTTTTGCTGTTCACTAACCTTTTAAATTTGGGTACATTTAGAACAGCCCTGTTGGGCAGAAATAAAACGTAAACCACAAATGCAAGGCATGTCTGTCATCTAAGTTTTTCTAGTAGACAGTTTAAAAAGTAAAAAGTTAATTTTTTTCTTGCTTTTAATAAACTTAAAATTGCTTTTACTAGAATCTTCTCTGTATTGTTCCAATTTTAGTATATGTGCTGCCGAAGCAAGCACTTTCTTGCTCTTTTTTAAAAGATAGAGTCTCCTTTAGTCTGGAATGCACTAGTTAAGAATGGTCCTGAACTCTTCCCAGTCTCCTGCCTTAGCCTCCCCAGTGCTGGATTAAAGATGTGTGTTACCATGCCTACATTTTGTTTTGTTTTTGTTTTTTTCTTCCCTTGGGACTGGGTCTCCATTCATATAGCCCAGAACAGTCTTGAATATAATCCTCCTATCCTTAACCTTGGCAGTGTTAGGATTATAGGCATGTGTCACTATCTCTGGCTCAAAGTATTTTTCATTGCCATTTTAACATGTAATCAATGCTTGAAAATGGAAGTATTCTTCATTCATATTTTTGGGTTTGAAGTCTGTATCTAATGTGTAGTGGTCAATGTAGCTAGGAGCTAGAGCCTTGCTACTCAATATGGTAGAAGCACTGTATCACCTGTATACTTGCTAGAAATGCTCAATTTCCTTTTAAGACAGGGTCTCATGTAACCTAGACTTGCCTCGAACTCTAGATCTCCCTGCTCCCACCTCCACAATTTGAGGATGACAGGCATGCACTGTGTCCAGCTCAAAATGCTGAATCTTCAACCCTATTCCAGATTTGCTTAATCTGCTTTAAAAAACAAAAACAAAAAAACGGGGCTGGAGAGAGGGCTCAGCAGTTAAGAGCACTACTGCTCTTGGAGAGGATTCAGGCTCGGCTCCCAGCACCCACATGGCAGCTAACAACTGTATGTAACTCCAGTTCCAGGTATATATAAGCAGGCAATACACTCATACACATAACAAAATTTAAAAAATCACAACTGAACACCCCCCGCAAAAAAAAACCAAATAGGGTCTTGCTATGTTGCCTCAGCTTTATAATCCTTCCTTGCTGGAACATCACAACCAGCTTGGACTGGCCTGAATCTGCTTAACAAGAGCCCCAGGTGATTCACATGTACAGTAAGCTTGAACAGCAGGAGTTTAAGAGGTTGGCAGAGTCTGGCCAATTTTTCAGCTACCTGTTTTTGTAAACAAAAGTGCATTGGCAAGTAGTCATACTAACTTACTTATATTTGATTCTGTGCTATGAGGACAGAGCTGAGTATCTGCAACAAAAATCTTAAGGCCCAAAAAGTCTAAAACGTTTATCATTGGGTCTTTTCCAGTAAATCGAAGGGATGAAAGAAGCTTTTGACCTTCAGGCAAGTCACTGCTATTATCTGAAAGAATGCAGTGAAGTTTACCAGGGGTTTATTTAATATACTTAATGGCTGGGAGTTTAATAAATGGACCATTAAGAAGGCAATGTAGGGGGTTGGAGAAGTGGCTCAGCGGTTAAGAGCACTGGCTGTTCTTGCAGAGGATCCGAGGTCGATTCCCAGCACCCACATGGCAGCTGACAACCTTCCGTAACTCCAGTTGCAGGAGATCTGACGCCCTTTTCTGACCTCTGAAGGCACTGCACGACATGGCTGCACCTACATAAAAGCAGGCAATACACTCACATACATAAAATAATAAAATCAAACAAAAACTAAAAAGGTAGCAATGTAAAACTGTGCACAGTGGCACACACCTTTAATCCTGGCACTCAGGAGGCAGAGTGGGTGGATTTCTGTGAGACACAGGGTAGCCTGGTCCACATGGCAAGTTCCAGACTAGCTGGGGCTATAGGGAGATCCTGTCTCAAAAAAAAAAAAAAACCCCACAAAGAAGGCAATGAAACAGAATGGGCTTTGGGCTGGTGGGAAAAAGAGTGTAAACACTAACTTACAAGCTTTGTTTACCCTAAACAAGTCACTTAAGGTTGAGTTTTCTTGGCTCTAAACTGGGGCTAGTTCCTACCTACCACAGTTCCTGTGAGGACAGGGCATGGCCCAGAGGAGCATTCAATCAGAAACAGCTTTATTCACATCTGTGTTGTCAGCTGCACCAAATTGCAGTCAGAAGAAAACATACTTAAGCTGCCTTGTTAGTTCACACGGTGTTATTTGCTGAGGTTCCCAATCTGCAGTCCAGAAGCAGAACTCGTTTATTTGAAAAAATTACTATGTATTGAAAATATACATTAGAGATTATTACAGACTTCAGTAACATTCCCCTCCCCCACCGCAAAAGTAGAAATATCTGCTTGCTATGCTAATGCCATAGGTAAATTCAAACCAAAAGAAAATTATCATCAGTCTCCTGCCCTCACACACTAGAGGTGAAGGGAGAAAGGTCAAACTTGTGTCTGTCAGTAGGAATTTAGCAAGTCCCAGTCTTCCATAGCCAGACACACGTACTTCTGCTTGGAAGACTGCGAAGAGCTGTTCTGCTCCAGCTCAGAACCCTCGAAAGCTCTCTTCTTGCACTTCTTTGACTCCTGGCTCAAGGCAGCATCATGCTTCAACAGTGGCCCGTGGCAGTCTGGAGCTTTTTCTCTATAGAACTGGAGTTTTCCAGAAGAGTTCATGTGGGTATCTGCCAGGGGACATTTCCTTGAGGCTTCTGTGAGAGCTTGCTTCTGATCTGTAAGAATATCAGAGGGGTGGGTGACAAGTTTTCTGAGCTGGTAGGCCAAGGCTTGCAAGTCTGGGGAGCTGTTCAAGTCAAAGGTCCCAGGGTGGTCTGGGCCAAGTGCCCTGTGAAGAAGCAGTGGCAGACGTACTAGCAGAGGGGAAGCATGGCTCTTACTGGGCTCTAAGTGAGTCTGAACAAAAACCTGGGATTCAGTTTTCTCAGCTTTCTAAGAATATAAGTGAAATAATGTATACAAAGTATAGACACAGTCTAAAACCTCAAAATTGTTAGCTCTTTTTTGTTCCGCCCCTTTAAAACCTGGACCTGACTCTAGCTACTGTGAGATGTCCCTGTGGCACAACTCCAGCAACAATCTTAACAATCTCACCCTGTAGTTTATGTCCTAGGATTCTTGTTTTGCAATCTTTGTTTCCTTCAGTTTATCACCTAAGTATTGTCTGAAATGACAAAATATATGCAACATAAAATTATCATTTTAGGGCAGGAGAGAAGGCTCAGTGGTTAAGGGTACAGCCTGCTCTTGCAGAGGACCCAGGTTTGGTTCCCAGCACCCACATGGTGGTTAACAACGATCCTTCACTTAGTTTCAGGGAATCTAACACCCTCTTCTGGCCTCCACAGGCATTGTACAACATGAGTGCACTTGCATGCAGGCAGAACACACACACACACACACACACACACACACACACACACACGAAATTTAAAAAAAAAAATTAATTTTTTACCATTTTAACCTATCTCCAGAACTTTTATTTTTTTCAGTGCTGAGGATAGAACCCAGGGCTTTGTACATCCAAGGCAAGCATTTTATCACTGAGTTACATTCCTATCCGTACCCCTCCAGAATACTTTATTATTATAATTATATGTTTGTGTGTCTGATGCCCACATGTGGAACTAGAAGACAACTTTTGGGAGTAGTTCCCTCCTTCCACTATGGGATCCAGGGATTAAACTCAGGGTATCAAACTTGCATGGTAAGAACTATAACCTGATGAGCTGTCTCATGAACCCAAAGAACTTTTTACCTTCTAACTTTATCTGTAACTATTAAGTACTTCAAGGTTCATGTGTCAAAATGTCCTTACTTTGAAAGACTGAATCATATTCTACTGCATGTAAATACTACATTCGGTTTATCTAGTCTTCTGTTAAAGAGTATTTGGGTTACATTCTTTTCTCTACTTTTTTTCCTAGTGCTTGAGATTGAATCCAGGGCCTCACACATGCCAGGCAAGGCCTTGACCACCGAATATACATCTAGCCCTGCTTTCATCTGCTGGCTACATTTCACTTCGTTTTAATCTTCTGTGCTCCACTTACTCTTGTGCCACTGCAATTCTTTGGGAGGAGAATGCAAATAAATAATTATAAAAAACAACCTTCCCGTGGTGTACCTACGTTGAAAAGACTATTCATCTTGGTGATAATAAATCAATGCTATTAGGTGTTTCCCACAAAGAGGCTGATTGTTTTACAAAAACCCACTGGCTGTGGTGGCACATGCCTTTAGTCCCAGCACTTGGGAGAAGAGGCAGGCGGGTCTCTGTGAGTTTGGGGACAGCCTGGTCTACATGCGAGTTCCAGACCAGCTGGAAGACTGTGTCTCAAAAAAAAAAACACTAAACAAGAGAAAAAGTGTGCGCCCCGCCCCACAAAAAGAGAATTTCTCACAGAAGTACTGAGCTGCTTTCCGAGACCCCGCATCTTTCCGTTGCCGCACAGCTTCCACAGTCACTCGCTCCCACTGCAAAACGATCTGAAAGATTGAACCAAACAAAAACTTGCTTTTAATCGCAAACCTTTCTTGTCCTCCCTTGCTTCTTTTCCTTCTTTCTACTTTTTTCTTTAGCCTGGGGAATCAAACCCAGAGCCTTGCACGTGCTGGGCAAACACTCTACACCTCTGAGCTCCATTCCTACCTCCTTTGTTCCTTTTCCTGAAACACAAACTTGTGTGGTAAATTTTATTTTAGATGACTGGTGATAAAAATAAGAATCAAGCTGGGCGTGGTGGCGCCCACCTTTAATCCCAGCACTCAGGAGGCAGAGGCAGGCAGATCTTTGTGAGTTTGAGGCCAGCCTGGTCTACATAGTGAGTTCCAGGACAGCTGGGGCTACAGGGAGACCCTGTCTCAAAAAAAAAAAAAAAAAGTATCAAGCTAGTCTGGATGCAGTAAATATGCCCAATCTATGTCTGTATGACTCAGACAAAGTCTGCTAAGCCTACTCCCTGCCTATTTCCACTCTTATTCCTGTTAGAAATAAACCGCACATCTTTAAACTAAACACTAAAATCTAAAACCTTAGTCTTAATATTTTTCACACATCCTGAGATCCTTCTCATGCCTTAAAATACATCGACAATGACTCAACTTTCCTATGTATGCAGAATGCTCACATTTCATATTCTCACAGCACTTCAGATTCTATTCTTAACTGCTACAGATCTATTTTATTATAAGTTATGCTAATTATAAGTTACGCTAATTCCTTAAGAAATGTGACTGAGTATAAACTATAACTGAATAAAAGGCAAATAATCATTTCAATAAATATGGGTGACAAGAACTTTGTATTTAATTATTTCTCACTAGGATGCAATGAAATGATCACATGATCATTAAAGTTAGAGAAAACATTTGCAGGATACAGAGCAGTTCAAGAGTCTAAGAGCACACATCTAGCCAGACATGGTGGTGCACACCTGTAATTCCAGAACTTGTGAGGTTGAGGCAGGAAAACTGAAAATTTGAGGCCAACCTGAGATACAAAGCAAGACTTAGATACAAACAACAAAACCACCAACCACAGAGCACTTAGAGCAGCTTCCACATTCACCAGAGGACCCTTAGCTACTGATTTAATTTCTGAGTCTCAATTTCTTCGTCTGTAAAATAGGGATTAGTAATAGTATTTCACGGGACTATTACAAGGATTGCATCAAGAGTTTATCACAGTATCTGCCACACCAGACAGCACTTGGTATATATTAGTTGTGGACCCTCCAATAAGATTTCCTGGTTATGGAAAATGGGAACCAATCTAATGGAAAGCCATGAAGGACTAAACGAACCTGATGAGTTTAGTTGGAAAAAGAGAAACAGTCCTTCCACTAACAGAAACAGGGTGGGCCAGTTGAGAATGTAGAAGGAAACTAGTCTGGAAGAGCTGAATTTGAGGTGCCAGACAGAGACTTGTGGACAATATTTGTGAATGCAACTGATTTCTGATGGATTAGAGTCATAGTTTTAAAAAACATTTATTTTTATGTGTATGAGTGTTTTGCCTGCATGTATGTAAGTGCACCACGTGCTGCCTGGTGCCCACAGAGGCCAGAAGAGGGTGTCAGACTCCCTGGAACTGGAGTTATGGATGGTTGTTGGTCATCATGTGAGTGCTGGGACCCAAAGTTGGGTTTCCTGTAAGAGCAGCCAGTGCTCTTAGCCACTGAGCCATCTCTCTAGCCCCGGATTAGAGTCATCCCTGAAAAGAGAATTTTAAAACCTGGAGGAACCTAAGATTACCAGGGGGAATGAAGGTATAAAAGAGAAAAGGGAAAATGAGCTAAGAGAGAAAAACCCCAAGGCATGTATGTTTACATCTATCACAGAGTCAAGAAAGGTAGAGACTAAGGCTATTTACCAGCTTCCAGAACAGTGGAGGCTAGACTGCAGCGGGAGGCAAAGAGGTGGGAGAACCAAGAACAGGACACAGTACACAGCTGCACTTGGGGCTGAGGAACACACTAGCATATGGATAACTGATGTCCATATACCGAGGGTGATGGTGAGAATGTGGTGGTAGGGAAGGAGGCTGAAGGCCTTTAGGACTAGGACTGAGAGAAAAACAAACAAGGGATTATCAGTGACATAAAGTGGCAGTTGTTTCTCTCAGAGGAGGGAAGTGGAGAAATTTTGAGATGGAGAAGTGGGCCTCTGTTAGGCATACTGACTCTTCTGTATCATCTGATGAGATCAGGAGAGTGGGTCAGGCTGGACCAGTTCCTGCAATGGATGAGCAGAAGGTCAGGGAAAGCACTGCTGGCAAGTTCTGCAGGCCAGCTGAAGTGAAGGTAGGAAACTACAGTGGCCCACTCAACTTGTGTTTAAGGCCATACTGCTAGGTCTGTGATTCGATTCTTACCAAGCCCTCTAAGAGAATTCTTAGTTTTTGCATTTTACAGATGAAAAAAATAAAGGCTCAAACTTACCTTAGTCATATAGCTACTGATGAGGCAGATCTAAATTCCATAATTAGGCAGTCTCTGATTCTACAATTTAAGCCCTTTCTACCATCTAACTTGTTACCAAACTGCATCAGGCCTTGGCAAGCCCACCCACATCTGCCCAAGTCCACTAGATGCTAGGACTCAACCAGGGCTATACTCAGGCAATAAATTCACTATGCATGGTCTAGAGCAAACCTGAAGTGCTTCTCAAACACTGATTCACTAGTCTTCCTTCTTAACTATAGGGAAGTGATGTTATAATCAGGCAGCTGGACAGGCCCACCATCATGCTTTATGGCTCGAAGTCAAAGAGGGGCCCAGGACAAAATCCTCCAGGTCTCTACCAGGAAACACCTATTAAGTGTCTGAGGAGAAGGAACCCCAGATAGGCAAGCTGGTATCTATTTGCATCACCCTACTTGGTTACCTTCTGACTTTCTATTTAGGGCTATACTTCACTATTCTGGGAAAGGACATTAACAAGTCAAGAGAAGGCTGGAGAGATGGCACTTGCTGTTCTTCTGAAAGTAGGGTTCAGTTCCCAGCACTCTGTAACTTCAGTTCTAGGGATGCCCTCTTCTGGCCTCTTCAGTCACCAGGCATGCATGTGCACATACACACATGCAGGCACATACTCAATACACGTAACGATAAAAATAAATAAATCTTAAAAAAAGAGAGAGTAAAAGTTAAGTTCTCTCAGTGGCAGAACTCAGTGAGAAAGACCAAAAAGAGACTCCTCACTAAGGCTCTGGGAGGAAAGCAAAGAGCCCAAGAGGGAAGGAAAAGCCAGATCTGAACCCTTCACAGTGTGACACCAGAGTTTATTTTTATCTCTTTCTGGTATAGCACATTGTACGAGAATCTGTCCTGAAGTTAGGGCAGACTGGTTTGTTTCTTCTTTTTTGTATAGAAAACCTGAATTCTCTTATTTCCCAAGTCATTTGGCATGTTCTCCTAAGTCCTCTAGGGATGAGGGCAAACCTATCAACCAGAGCAGGAAAGTATTAAAGTCTGAAATCCAGTATTAATTCCTCAAGTAAATGGGTAACAGACGATCAGCATCTCTGATTTGAGGTGAAGTTCATAATTTAGCCTAAGAATATCAAGAAGATTGTTTATTCAGTGTATTGGATAAGGTATCTACAATTAAAATGAAAAGTTGTAATAACTGTACCTGGTCAGCCCAGCCCTCTGTTTTGCAGTTACTGTGATCAAATTCCTTCAAAGGCACTTTGGAGTGAACAAGGCCTATGTATGCCTGGAGCTTGTCCTTGATGGCTTTGACATCCTAGTGAGGGAGAAACACCAGAGACATGAGTACATTTTTCCAAATCTTACTTGCTTTCAGTAGCAAATGGCCACCATAAATTAGGTTGGTGGTACATACCTGTAATTCCAATACTCAAAAGGCTGAGGCAGGAGGATCATGAGTTCTAGGCTAGCCTAGGCTGCTACATAGTAAAACGAAAATACCCAGACTAGCTGGGTATGATGGTACATGCCTGAGATTCCAGTATTCAGTAAGCTAAGGCAGGAGGATTGCTTTGAATATGAGGCTAACCTGGGCTACACAATGAGCAAAAGGTTAGCAGGACTATGTAGCAACACTGTATCTCAAAAAAACAAAATAAGACTATAATAAATACCAGCTGCTTCTAAACACCAATTAACAGAAGCAAAGTACCAAATCACAAGTCTGGAAAAATGAAAAAAAAAAAAATCAAAAGCCTTACCTTTAGTCCTGTCCCAGAGATATCTAAGCAGTTTAGTTTTCTAAAAGAAAATAAGTATCCAATTCCAGCATCTGTGATCTCAGGGTTACCTATATGTCAAAAACAAGGCAGTTTTCTGTCATGATATAACTGTTGGTAAAATGCCAACGTAAGCTGAGGAGAAGAAAATTCAGGCTAGGATAAACTATAAATTTGTCTTGTATCAAAAAATTTTCAAGGGTACTTGGACACATAGGGGCTATCACTATTCTTACTAAATCTTGTTTTTCTAAAACTTTTCTTATATAGTACCTTCCCACATCAGCATGTTGCTTTAGCCATTTCTCTAGGATGTAATAAGCACAGTGCCAGGGACATAACAGATGCTCAAAACACATTTAATGAATTAATAGATCTCCTTGGGAGGTAGGTTAGAGAACTTGGTGTTATCCTTATTTTACAGAGACCAAAAATCAAAGTCCTGAGCCTTTGTTAAATAAGTTGCCCCAGGGCACAAAACTGCTAGTAAAAAATAGCAGAGCAAGCTAGGCCCTGACCTCACCCCTGGGACTTATACTCATTGTGAACCATACTACCCTACCACAGATTCACTGGACACTCAAGTTGGTGACTTCCTACCACTGGAGTCAATAGAGTCTGGTAATCTTTTTTCTTTTCTTTTTTTTAGTATTTTTGAGACAGGATCTTCCTGTAGCCCCAACTGGCCTGGTACTCACTATGTAGACCAGGCCAGCCTCGAACTCACAGAGATCCGCCTGCCTTTGCCTCCTGAGTGCTGGGATTAAAGGCATGGACCACCACGCCCAGCAAGTCTGGTTAATCTTGAGTAAGTTAGCATAGTTATGGATTTCTCATTTTTTTAAACAGGTGATGAAAAGAATCCAGCTGATAGACACCGTGGACCAGAGACTCAAAGACAGTAGGGCCAAATACCCTTTATGTGTGCTCTTAATATGACAGAAGAGCCCTGTCTGCACACTGAGTGCATGGGCCATCTGAAAGGACTTTTCCTGCCCTACAGGAATTGCTGGTATGTTGCAAAAAGCATTGGGCCAGAAGTCAAGACCATCTGGTTTTATTTAGTGCTTTTCTGTCACTAGGTTGCTATGGCCCTTAGAAAGGTCAGCTTTCCTTTTATCACCTCTAAAACACCTCTAAAATGAAGGGGATGATGATCTCTAGAATGGTTCTTTCAACACTAATAATCTGTATCTGCTAATAAACTTACAGGATAGGTCTAACAGTGCTAGGTTCTCCAGGCCTTTTTTCATCACTCTCACTGGGGCTGTCATTTTCCTCACGCCAGCATCTGATAAGCAATTATCCTTCAGGTGGAGCTGAGTTACACTGGGAAACAAAGTCCATAAATACATCACTTAAGTACAGTTTGAGAACATGCTCTGAAACATTTCATTAAAAAAAAAATATCAGTATCTCTAAATATTGCAAAAGTCCGTTATGTCCTAGCTACTTTCTACTGCTGTGATAAAACACTGACCAAAACCAACTTAGGAAGAAAAGGGTTTATTTCATTTATTCTTCCAACTGGCCTTCCACCATTAAGGGAAGCCTGAGCAGGAACTCAAGGTAGGAGCTGAAGCAGAGACCAGAGACCATGAAGAAACCTGCTTACAGGCTTGCTCCTCAAACCTATGCCAAGCCTCATTTTTTCTTTCAAAAATTTTATTATTTTATGTGTTATGAGTATTCTGCCTGCATGTATGTAACTGTACCAATGCCTGTGGAGGCAAGAAGATGGCATTGGATTCCCCCCTGGAACTGGAGTAATAGATGGTTGTTAGCCACCATGTGGGTGCTAGGAACTAAAGTCGGGTCCTCTGAAGAGTAGCCAGTACTCTTAACCATTGAGCCATTTCTCCAGCCCCTTGGCCTTATACAACCCAAGATCACATGCCCAGGGGTGGCACACCCACAGTAGCAGGACCTCTGATATTTATCACTCAACAATCAAGAAAATGCTCACAGACAAGACCACAGGACAATGATAAAGGAAGTTCCCCACTCAGGGTCCTTCCCTTGTCATATTGACAAGCAAAGCACCATGACACCATTCAAATCTCACCAAATTGTTCTATTTTGAAATGCCCTTTTCTGCTGTTGCTGGTCTTGAAAAAAAAATACATTTATTTGTGTGTGTGTGTATATGTGTACGTACATGTGCTGTGGTACACATGTGGATGTCAGAGGACAACTTGTGGGAGGGAGTCAGTTCTCCCATCATGTAGGTCTGACAACTCAGGTTGTCAGTCTGGCAGCAAGCACCTTCATCCAATGAGCCAGCTCACTAGCTCACTTTTTTAAAAAATATTTTATTATTTTTATTTTGTGAGTGTATTGCCTGCATGTATGTCAGTGCACCCGTGTCGTGCAATGCCTTGGAGGTCAGAAGAGGGCGTCAGATTCCCCTGGAACTGGAGTTAAGAATGGTTCATGGCAGCCATGTGGGTGTGGGAATGGAACCTGGGTCCTCTGCAAGAGCAGTCAGCTCTTAACCACTGAGCCATCTCTCCAGCCCCCTAGTTCAAACTTTTTATCTCTTGCTAGAATAAACTAGAACTGGACAGTTTTTCCACCCAGATGATTTCCAGGATTACATGCTAAATAAAGTTTATTCAGAAAAGAGAACAAAGGTTTATCCAATCTACAGGGCTTATACCAAGTGCACAGAGGCTAAGAATATTTTAGCCTATAACAAGTAAACACGGGAAAGGAAAGTAACTGGCATTCTTTTAAGATGATCCCATTGGATCATCCTTTAAAAATAAAACAATCATCTACAAGTGATGGCAGGCCAGTACCTGGACAGGGCCTCATTGGTGAGATGCTCTAGAAGTTCATGTTCGTCTCCAAGCTTGCAACAGGAAAGATCCAGGCAGGTCAGCTCCCGGAAAGACTTAATTTCCTCAAGTTTTTCTGAAATCACCAGATACCTGTGCAGTGCGGAGAGCAATCAGTAGCTTTTCTTCCTAGTCTTTTAAAACTTTCAATTTGTGTTTCTGTGCCACAACTAACATGCTTTCACCCAAGAGTAAGAGATGATAAGCACACTTCACTGATGACTGTCTCACAAGGGCTGGACTAATTAGTAAATGGCTCAAAAGACTTTGTACACAATGGTGGAATATTTTGAATAAACAGAAGTATATGACACAGGCAAATCACAAGAGAAAACATCTGTTTTGGCATTAGACAGACCTTGGAGTTAGTTGGGGTTTCATCTGCGAAGTTCCAAGCTTAGCATATTCAAAATTTCAATTACTCACTTGTTTTGAGAAAGGATCTTACTCTATAGTCCAGGCTGGCTTCAAACACACAGTTAAGCCTCCCTGCCTCAACCTCCAAGTGCTGGAATTACAGGCATGAATCACCATACCTAGCAAGTTGCTTTTTATCTGATACTATGTTATATAGTAATATGAAAATTAAAACAAGACCAAGAAGTCTAGGTTTTAATCTATATACCCTCAAAAGTACCTCAAGAGCTATCTTGCAGATCACAGTTCCTTCTCAAACACAAGCCCATCCATACCGCAAGGCCTCTGTTACCTTAACCACTCCAAAAGTATGTGGCAGCATGACTCTCATTTAGATGGTTATTAAGACAAACCATGAACACTGGCACACCTTGCCAAGTTGCTATCAGGAAGCATCAGGGAGGTCCCTGAAGAGGAAAAGGAGATCAAAATGGCATTCCACAACCCAGCTGGGCTCTGCCCTGCCTTCTTGTTGTTCATCTATTTCTAATGAGGTCAGCGGGAAAAAATGAAAGAGATCAGGTGTGACAGGAACAGGAGGGAAGCGATTCCAAAGATACTAGGGAAACTAACCGGCGAGAGCATCTGCTTCTTGTCTACTTTCCTCTTGGAGGCCTGGAAATTTCTACAGCAGGAGGGTATACTAGTATCGGTGGGATTATAAAGAGTCTACATCTCTTTTAGTCAGCAGAATAACAATTGCCAAAAACAGGATGGATAATCAGAGAGCAAGAGACAGGATGGAACTCTTTTCTTCCTATATCCAACCAAAATTAGAGGCACTCAAACTGATCACTGGCCTGCCTAGTAAGTACAGATGGCTTGAGATACTGGTACCTTTTTTAAATTGCAAAATCTAAGCTGCCTGGAGAGGGAGCTCAGCTGGGTACAGAAGACTTACTTAACTCAGATGCAATTTAATTGTACTGTAAATCAACCATTTTCCACCCTCCAACCACGGTGTTGGAGTGTGTTAATGGGGTTTAGGAGATTACTGGCATTAGAGAAAGGAAAATACACATTCTTTGATCAATTACCAAAAGATTTTTAGTAATTCTGAAGTAAGGGTTATCTGTGAGGGACATACTACTCTGTAATGTGATTAATATTATAGAATTCAAGGCCAAGGACCAACATTCTAGGCCACAGGCAATACTGGATGCCAATCTAGGACATAAAGCTCCAGATTCTTGTAACTAGTTTTCCATATTGACCTCTGAAGGATCAGAACAGTATAGTAGAGACATAAGAAACACACTTTAGTGCCTGAGCTTGAATTAAAAAATAAAAATTATTAGGAAGAGGAGTCAGTTCTCTTCTTCCACCTTTATGTAGTTCCAGGGATTGAACTCAGGTTGTCAGGCCTGTATCATAGGGTGGCAAACACCTTTACCTGCTGAGTCATTCAGCCAGCCCAGCTTTGAATTCTAACAGCCTTAATTATTAGTTGCCTAATCACTTAACCCCTTGGACCTTCAATTTTTTCCAGTTTCTGCATACAATTATTTCTTTCCAGAATTATTAAGGAAAACAAACATTTAAGAAGTACATGACAGCCTATAGCCCTCCACGCTTTATATGGTAGTTACTACTACTTCAGTAATATAGGGTGATGTTTTAGGGACAATATACTTGTGCTGGAACCACCAGCGGGACTGACAATCACTAGAGTTTCAGTACAAGAGAGGAGATTTTGTAGGGCTGGACCCAGCTGCAGGGACACTGGCTTCTCCTGGCAGAATGCTTGATGGCTTAATGCCAAGACAGAAAGTGCTCTCAACTACCAGATTCCTTATTTTCAATTACTTTCTCGAGGTCCTTGCTTCTGGCTTGACCCCTTTTGTAATGGTACAACCTCTGCTGCTGCAGCTTCAGCCCTGAATTGCAAACACAAGCCCACATCTCCTGTCCTCTTATGTGACCCTGAGGAGTTAGAAAAAGAGGGGGAAGCTGGGCATGGTGGTGCACACCTTTAGTCCCAGCACTCAGGAGGCAGGTGGATCTCTGTGAGTTCAAGGCCAGCCTGGTCTACATAGTGAGTTTCAGGGCAGCTGGGGCTACAGGGAGACCCTGTCTCAAAAAAAAAGAAGAGAGGGTTTGGGGGTTGGAGAGATGGGTCAGTGGTTAAGAACACTGGCTGCTCTTGCAGAAGACGCAGGTTCAGTTCCCAGCACTTGCCTGATAGCTGTTACTCCAGTTCCAGGGGATCCAATGCCCTCTTTTGGTCTCTATGGGCATTGTACAACATGGGTACAATTTAAATATATGAAGGCAATACACTCATACACATAAAAATAAATATAAAAAATTTTAAAAGAGGGTTTTGATCAAAACTAAAAATTTACTGTACCTGAATAAAAATAAAAACACTCCATCTAGGCATGGTAGGGAGGCAGAGCCAGGAGGATCTCTGTGAGTTCAAAGCCAGCCAGTTTATATAGTGAGTTCTAGAACAGTCAGGGCTACACAGTGAGGACCTGTTTCAAAACAAAAACAACCAATCCAAAAGATTATGCTGAAAAATGTTTGCTGTATTTAAAAAAATTATACCTAGGCGTGATGGTGCAAGCCTTTAATATCAGCACTGTGGAGGCAGAAGCAGGTAGATTTCTGTGAGATTGAGGCCAGCCTGGCCTACATAGCCAGTTCCAGGCAAGCTGGGACTAAGGGAGACCTGATTCAAAAATCAAAACAACAAAATATAAACGTAATACATGATCCTAGGGAAAAATGGGGGGTGGGGAGGTTAAGAAACTACAGAAAGTAAAAAGAAAATAAAACCAATTGCAATCTATGTAGACATTATAGGGTTTTCTTTAAATAAATATTTAAAGCCAGGTATAGTGGTGCACGCCTTTAATCCCAGCACTTGGGAGGCAGAGGCAGGAAGATCCCTGAGTTGATGCCAGCTGATGCCAGCCTGGTCTACGTAGTGAGTTCCAGGTCAGCTGGGGCTACAGGGAGACCCTGTCTCAAAAAGAACAACAAAAAATTAAAAGCCCCAAATTTAGAGTTAGAAAGGAAAAAAAAAAAAAAAAATAAAGTCATTCCAAACTTCTTTGTGTTCAATCCCCCAAACCACAAAAATGATTAATAATGTTTTAGCAGGGCATGGTGGCACACTCCTTTAGTCCCAGCATTTGGGAAGTGGAGGCAGAGGCAGGCAGGTCTCTGAGTCTGAGGCACGCTTGGTCTCCTTAGTGAGAGATCTTGTTTCAAACACCACCACCACCAAGAATAATTAATATTTTATTTTTAATTTTTAAATTATTTTTATTTTTGTATGTGTATGAGTGTTTTTTCTACATGTAGGTAGGTACACCAGTGTTATGCAATGACTGTGGAGGCCAGAAGAGGGCACTGGATCCCTGGAACTAGTTATAGATGGTTATTAGCTACCAGGCAGGTGCTGGGAATTGAACCTAGGTCCTCTGCAAGAGCAGTCAATGCTCTTAACTGCTAAGCCATCTCTCCAGTTCCTAGTAATGTTTTTAAAAATAGAGTCCAGGGACCAGAGAGATGGCTCAGTGGTTAAGAGTACTTCTTCCTCTTACAGTGAACTTGAGCCTGATTCCCAGCACCCATTTGAGAAGTTCACAACTGCCTGTAATTCTTGCTCTAGGAGGATCTGACATCTCTGGTCTCCACTGGCAACAGTACTCACATGCACATATTCCCAAACAAACCCATACACATAGATATAATTAAAAAATAAAAATCTTTAAAAACAGGATCTGGCCAGCAAGATGGTCAAGTGGGTAAAGTACTTGCTGCACAAGTCTGGCAACATAATTCAATCCCCAGGACTCATATAAAAGTGGAAGGAAAGAACCAACTCCATAAACTGTCCTCTGACCTCCATATATGGGCCGTTCTACACACATACCATGGCATGCATGTACCTGCACCTACACAGACACACACAGTCCTTAAAAAGAAATTTATTTTTATTCTGTGTGTTTTGCCTGCATGTATGTAAGTGCACCCTGTGTGTGTAATGTCCTTGGAGGTCAAAAGAGGGTGTCAGATCCCCTGGAGCTGGAGTTAAGGATGGTTATTAGCTGCCATATTGGTGCTGGGAACTGAACTAGGTCCTCTGCAAGACCAGCCAGTGCTCTTAACCGCTGAGCCATCTATCCAGCAAAAGTTGTTTGTTTTTAATGTCCATTTGCCTAAAGTATTTTTTTTAAAATTTCAGAGTTTTGCTTTGTCTAGTCTGGTGGTACTGGCTATGTAGTCTGCCATGAACTCACTTCAGTCCTTCTGTCTCCACCTCCAAGTGCTGGGATTACAGGCCTAAATCACTATGCCTGGATTTATGCTTTTTATTTCATTTATTACATTATGAACATTTTGCCACATCATTTAAATGACCTTGGCATATTATCTTAAAGCTACTTAATACTTCATTTCACTACTGTACCATAATTTGCTTAACAAGTTCCCTATTAAATGTCTGCCTTTCAGCTTCCCATTGCCACAAACAGTACAATGATGAACACTGTCATTAGAGATTGGACTAGATCTGCTTTTTGAGATAAGATTTTATTATGTAGCCAAAATGTCCATGAACCTTCTGCCTCAGCCTTGTGAGTGCTAGGTGACAGGTGTGCGCCTTGGCCCACAAGAGAGATGTTTGCTTCAGCTCCTCCATTTGCCTGGAGCTTGAGAGTAAGAGGAGAAGCAAGGTTGGCTCCTACTAACTGTGTGACTCTGTTTGGAAGAGCCACCTCCTTGGAACCACATTTTCCCTTAAGACAGACCCTGCCTCCTAAGGTGCTCACCAGGCCTGGCTGACGTAGTCTTCATAAGTGGAATTATGGACAAATATGGTGGCACATGCCTGCCATCTCAGTCAAGAGGAAAAATCAGGAAGATTATCTGAGTTTGAGGCCAGCTGGAATATACAGTGAGCTGCAAGCAAGCCAGGCCTTCAGATTAAGACCCCATTTAAAACCCAAAGAAACAAAGAAACAAATAAGATCAATACGGTGAATGATGGGTTGAAAAAATGGTGTGGATGTTTTTAGGGCTCTCAATACATATTCCAAACCACTTTCCAGAATGCTGCAGAACTTATTTTATTATTTTGATACTGGGGTTATTACATTAATTTATGTACTCATCAAATGTGAATAAAAGTGCCATTATTATCACACTATCATCAGTCAGAGCACAGAATATGGATAAATAGCAAGCATGGAAAATAGAATACCAGTAGTAGAGACTCCATTCTTAAATGCATAAAAACGGGCATTTGAGAATGATTGCTGTGGTGAGATTATAAATTTATTTTTTGAGACAGGTTTCCCTGTAGTCCCAGCAATTTGGAGCTCACTAAGTAGACCAAGAAGGCCTTGATCTCACAGAGATAAGCCTATCATCTCTGCCTCCCAAGTGTTGGGATTAAAGGTGTGCACCACCATGCCTGGCTAGATTATAAAAAGCTTAATATTAGATTTATGTGTTTCCCAAATATGTATTGTTTTTATAAAATAATTTTAAAACAAGACATACATAATTCTGTTTTTCAGTGTTCTAATTTTTCTACAGTAAACAAATAACTTAGAAGTGAAAATGAAGGGCTTGGGGCTGGAGACATGGCTTGGCAGTTAAGAGCACTGGCTGCTCTTGTAGAGAACCCAGGTTCAGTTGCTAGTACCCATATGTTGGCTAACAACCATATGTAACTCCACTTCTAGGGGACTCATTGCCTCTTCTGGCCTCGGCAGGCACTGCACACATGTGCTGCACTTATATACATGTAGGCAAAAGGCTCAAACACATAAAAATAAATAAATCCCAAGAAACCTTTTTTAAACAAAGGCATGGGGCAGGGCAAGGGAGGCTGAGGCAGGAGACTGACAGTGTGAGGCCAGCCTGGGCACAGAAAAAGATCCTATTAAAAGATGGAAGGGGTGGTGTGGTGGCTTATGCCTTTAATCCCAGCACTCTGGAGGCAGAGGCAGGTGGATCTCTGAGTTCAAGGCCAGCCTGGTCTACATGGTGAGTTCCAGGACAGCTGGGGTTACAGGGAGACCCTGTCTCAAAAAGACAGAAAAAAACAAAAAATAAAATAAAATGGAAGAAAGAAGGGGAGGGAATAAAATATATAATAAATAAATTGGCTTTGTCATTAAAGCAAGTTAAATTCTTTCCTTCTACTGACAGTAGCCCTGTGTCCTGCCTTGACTGACTATAACACAGAGCTTTCAGGAGATGCACTCAGTTTATGGTTCTGTTATCTGGCTTTTTGAAAGTATTTGATGTAGGGTAAAATCATTAATTCTATGAGTCAATTAAATTTAAACTAGTTACCTTTTCCTTCATCTTTTTAAGAGTGTAAGAATTTTAGCTTATATATTCTGGTTTTTATTGCTTTCTCTTTTTATCACATATTTTTGGTTTACTTTCCTTTATAGGTTTGTACATCTTAATAGTAAAATGGTGGGCTAGGGATATGGCTCAGTTAAAAGGGCTTAACATACACAAGGTCCTGGGATGGATCTTCAGTAAAACACACCACACACAGAATCAAATAAACTGCTATTCATTTTCTAATCATAAAAAATTCAGATGATAGCTGAGCATGATGGCACACGCCTTTAATCCCAGCACTTGGGAGGCAGAGGCAGGTGGATCTCTGTGAGTTCAAGGCCTAGTGAGTTCCAAGCCTGTTGGGGCTACAGGGAAATCTTGTCTCAAAAAGACACACACACACAAAAAAGTCCATAATACTAATTATAAATGATTTTCAAATTATGTGAAGAAAGCAAGGTGCATGGATGGATGAAACACATAGCTGTGTGTAATACAGGAAAGCTACAAAACACGTAAATGTACAGAACATCTCTGGAATAACAAAAAATAGCTAACAGTTGTTTATGGGAAAAGACATAGGAGAGGAGAAAGAGAAGTTTTATACTTGTCTGTGCTCATGTTTGAACAGTTTGCCATGGTCACTTTTACTATTTTACTTTTTTAAAACTAGGAGATGTAAGCCGGCGTGGTGGCACACACCTTTAATCCCAGCACTCGGGAGGCAGAGGCAGGCGGATCATTGAGTTCAAAGCCAGCCTGGTCTACACAGTGAGTTCAGGTCAGCTGGGACTACAGGGAGACCCTGACCATGCAGGGGTGCACAACAGACAGGGGGCCACAAGAGGAGATTGGCACATCCCACAGTGGGAAGGTTAAATTATAGTGGCATACTTTGAATAAATACAAAAAAGTACATGACCAAAAGTAAATCAGTTACAAGAGAAAAAGGTTGCTTTATAAGGGACAGGCTTTGGCACTGGAATCTTATCTGAAACTTCCCAAACTTTAGGATATTTGAAATTTTAATCACTTGTTCTTTTAGTGTTACTTTTTAACCTAACAGTATCTAGTGAAACAGGATCAAGAGTTCTTAGTATTGATCTTCACATTCCCAAGGACATATGATGAGATATTTGGCAGATTACACCTTGTCTTCCATATACTCTTATGAGTTGGCTCCAAGGGGGCATGGGGAGGAGGAGGAGGACAGTAGGAGCAATCTAGCAACACCCCATCTCAAAAGAGGACATCACAAAGTTGATTTCAAAGTATTTTCTATATATTGGAAAAGCTGTGGTAACCAACCTAATCCTTACAAAACATTTTAAAAATAAGGGTGTTATCTGGGAGATGAGGAAAGACTGATTTTTTTAAAAAAATTTATTATTTTTTTATGTGTACGAGTGTGTTGCCAGCATGTAGGTAAGTGCACTTGTGTTGTGCAATGCCCACGGAGGACAGAAGAGGCTGTCGGATCCCCTGGAACTGGAGTTACCGACAGTTGTTAGCTGCCATGTGGGTGCTGGGATTTGAACCCAGGTCTTAACCACTGAGCCATCTCTCCGGCCCAATTTTTTTCCTTTTTTTTTTTTTTCAATAAAATGGCCTGTACTTTGCATGTGGAAGCTCTAAATTGAAGTACTATTTAATGGTAGAACTCATGAGCCCACTAAGCCCCAGGGCTTGACAGGATAAACATATCCAATAAAGAGCTCACCATCCTAATGAGAATACCCACCTGTTTCGCAAGCACAGTGAGCAAAGCACCAGACTTCCATAGGCCTCAGTGAATTTCTGTAAAGCCCTCAGCCCTGCACCTGGCTCTGTGAATTTCTGTCTGGCTTCAGCAGCAGAAAACAGCTTTTCAGCAATCTGCTCAGGAAAGCCAATGAGGGAATCAATGTGATCAACATTGTCAGATATGAATCCTAGAACGAGGCTAAAGAGGGATTTGGCAGAGTACCGCAGATTCCCCTCGCGCGTGTATGTGAAGATGAAGTGATCAGTCTTCTCTTTCTGGGCAGTGTCGTCTTCCCTGTTCATGCACAGCTCCACAGAAAAGCCTTTTGGAAATAGTCTGAAAGGCCGGGGCTTCTGTAGGTTGTTCCTGACACCATCCAGAGCCAGATTGACCATATGTAGCTGCCCATTTTCTCGAACGTAGATGGGTCCTGGGTCCAGGTGGGTTTCTGAGTTGAGGTAGTAAGCCATTGCCTTGGTTGCAACTGTAAAAGCAAGGCATATGGAAGCAAATCCAATTAAAATGTCACCTGTAATAGGAAACTTCATCTTGCTATGCCCACAGCTTTATGAGCTTTTGCTGGAAAGAAAAGCTTACCAGTTGTTGAGACTTTAGTACTTGAGGATGCTTCTATTGTCATTACCTAAAATGCCCCCTTTTTCCCTTTTCTTACCTATTTGGTGATATACTCTTCTTTCAGAACCTCAAACTCAAATTTCCTTTCTCAGTTGCTCTAAAGTTATCAAAAATGTTAACAATTCTTTTACAAGTAGATTCATGGCAGCACAGTTTATATTAACAAAGCAATTAGAACACTAAATGTTCAAAATTGGAGCATTATTAAATAAATTATTCTATAATTTATTATTGAATAAAAGTTTATACACACCATGGACTATTATGAAGCCATTAAAACTGTAGAATTAAAAAAAAAAAGTTTATTCACAGAAAAAAAGGTTGAAATAAGCAACATGTAACTCCCCTGCTAACTTGGCACCTCGCACCACTTGTTACACACAGCTCACTGTTCTATTGATTGGTTCCTGGGCCTGCCTTTGCTGCTTTGCATACCAAGAGAAAGAAAGCAAGTTCAATTCATCCAGACATTAACAGTGTCCAAGTAGACAGTTATGAGAGCTAAAGTTTACTAGTTCACTAAACTTTATGTAAACCACAAGCAACAGGATGTTTTGAATCTACAAATAAAGGCCTTCATTACAAAAGCTAAATAAAATTATTATACTCCTTGAAGGCACCACCTCTGTTCAGGTTCTGTTAGAGTACTCTGAGGTAAGTCAGAAAACAAAAGTATTTCTGCAATCATGTTGGTGACATTACACACCCAAGAATTAATTGGGAAAAAAAATACATGATTTTTTGAGTAACAAATTTCAAAATATACAAGACTTTGCTGTTAAGTAAAACGAAGGCATCTGATTACTGTTTCTTCAACTATAAAGGTGAAGGGAAGTAAAATTTAATATATGTCTGATATTATTCTGCAAAGATAATGAAATTATCCCTAAAAGACTTCAGTTGACTTTTAGACTGAGCCAACTCAGTTTCTGCATCAACGCAGGGCTACAATGTGGCTCTGAAGCCACTTAGAGGAGTCAGCAAACAATTAAGTCAATAACAAAAATGCTGAGTCTCTGGAGATCAAACAATGGTCCTGTTTGTGAAAATCACTACTATCCATGTTTCTCCCAAGGATAATTATATGTATAAAGCACATCAGAGAAAAAGGCCCAACCTTGCCCTGGAGCCACACTCTTCCCTGCTCATCTACGCCTACTCTGTGGCCTGCTATCTACATGGATAAAATGGCCACTCTATCTTAACCCAGTACACTTGGCTTGGTTTACTGATTCTGGTTGTAGCAACCTTCTATGCCTCCCTGACCTAGCTATTTCCTAGTCATCATTAACACTCAGCTCAGCCATCACTTACCCTTCTCCTGGGAAACTTCCCCAACCCCTGTACCAATCCATGCCTGTCTAGTTTTCCCAAAGCACCCAGGGTTTCTTTTTACACAGCACTTAGCACCATGTACTATGCTCACTTGTTACTGTACCGAGAGTTATGAGCTCTTGGAAGGCAAGGCACATGGTGCCTAGTACTGAGTAAGCACTCAACAGATATTTACTGAACTGAATCAGACCTCAAAGGGGCAGATTTAGTGCTCTGAGCTGAAGGCCTGCTGACATTGTTGCTAGGAGCCAGCTCCTCTTCCAAGCAACAGCTACAGGCGCCTCCCCCACTTGCCAGACCCTTCTGTAGGTGGTAGAAGCAGATGATGGGGTATACTGGTACCACCAGCGGGAAAACAAAACAACTAAAATTATAACCAGTTTTTAAAAAAGTCCTGTCATAGTGCCAGCTCTTATATGTAATCCAAACTCTTCTCTTGCCAACATTCAGTGTCTGCTGCTGAAGACCGTCTCCCTCTTTCTAAGTGCTTCTTTCAGGGGTATTTGGCTTCTTCAACCTCATAGACCTTAATCCTGACAGGAGAAAAAGGAGATCTTCTGCAGTCTGTATCTGAGACTGCTCAGAGTCCTACTCTACCTGAACATCAGAAAATAGTTATCAAGTAACAGCCTCCAAAGAAACTATGTGACAGAGAGAGACGTTCCAAAAGAAAAAAAAAGAAAAAAAAAAACCTCAAAAACAAACAAACAAACAAAAAAAACGAACAAATGAGTGAAAGACAGTATTTTTATTTTTTTGTTTTTTTTGAAACAGGGTCTCCCTGGAGCCCCAGCTGTCCTGGAATTCACTATGTAGACCACGCTGGCCTTGAACTCAAAGAGATTCGCCTGCCTCTGCCTCCCACTAGGATTAAAGGTGTTTGCCACCATGTCCGGCTACAGTATTTTTATTTTATATCACCATTTCAGACTGGCCTGATACTCACTATGTAGTCCAGGCTGGTCTCAAACTCAAGATCCTCCTGCCACAACTTTCCCAGTGCTGGGATTACAGGCATGACCCACCATGCCTAGCTGAATGACCTAATTTCAACAGTAGAAAGGCAAATCTTACGGACAATATCATAATGGATGGACACACTATGATGTCAGAGAGAGAGAGAGAGAGAATATGAATCCAGGTTCTGCACATCTGCATTGATTTTAATCCTCATTTCCAACAGTTACATGAATTTTGGAGTAAAATGGATAGATGACTGGATGACTACTTCCCATGAAAATGGGAAAAGTGTGATTCTACCCAGTAGAGGGCACAAGCAGGCTGGGAGCAGAATTCAGATGCTAATCCCTATTCAACCCCAAATTTTGGACGGTTTACCTTCCAATCATTTTTTAAGCACACAGTTATGACTATCATAACTATTATATCTTTGGACTACCACACCAAATGCTATTCATCATACCCCCTCCCCCTCCCTCCCTGTAGCCCCAGCTGGCCTGGAATACACTATGTAGACCAGGCTAACCTCCACCTCCACCTCCACCTGCCTCCTGGGTGCTGGGATTAAAGGCATGTAGTACACGCCTGGTGCTATTCTCACATTCATTCTTCTCTCTCGTTTTTTTGAAACAGGGTCTCCCTGTAGCCCCACCTGGTCTGGAACTTGCTATGCAGATCAGGCTGGCCTCTGCCTTGGCCTCCAGAGTGCTGGGATTAAATGTATGTGCCACTACACTGGGCTGAGATTCTCTTTTTGAATGACAAAAAAATTCAGTATTTCCTTAAGAGTAAATGTACATCACTTGTCCAGACAGTATCTAAGATATCTCTTTCTTCATGTACGGCATTTGAGGGAACTAACCTCAGTTTAGGGAATCATGGTAACCTTTGGTTTAACAACCTGCATTCTCCCAATAAGGCACTTCTTGAAGTTTGTACAGTATTATAAAATGATCTAAGGATTAAATGAATGTTTGAACTTTCAACTTTAGGAACCATAAAGTCAAGATGATTCTACACAAAGCTTCTGTAATGGGCATTGCTTGCTCCTGGGCTACTGTTCATGGTGGCAGATTACAAACTGACCCCTAAGAGACAGGGCCTGTTCCAGAAATGGGGAAAAAAAAACAAAAACCAACTCCTACAAACTGGTAAATTAAGAAAATAAGTACCTGCAATAACAATACTGTTCGGTGAGATCTGTAGTAGCTACATTATATATTAGAGTAACAGAGTGACACGCTGTGTAATGGGTCTCCTAGCTTACTACAGAGAAGCAGCTTTGTAACATACATAACAGCATACACTACGGTACAATAGTGCATGTACCACAAGCCAGCTAAAGCTACCACAAAACATATCATTTCTTCAAATAAATGAAACATAACCTTGGTACATTAAAAATTCAGTTCTATACAGCTTCTTTGAATGAGGCAAGATATATAACTGACAATTAAACATGGCAGTTTTTTAAACTTTAAAGCTAGTTTCCAAGAAAAAAACATAATTATATCAGTCAGGTGAAGGGGGAGGGGCACAACAGGGTAATAGTATTGAAACTGTGAGCTGAGCCTGACTGATTTGAAGAGAAAAAAGAAAGCCAGGTGTGGTGGCTCACACCTCATACCTCCCAACACTCAAGAATTTAAAAAGGATTACTGTGAATTTTAGGTTAGCCTGGGCAACAAAGTGAGTACCAGGCCAGCCAAGGCTACATAGCAAGACCCTGTTTCAGAGAGAGAGAGAGAGAGAGAGAGAGAGAGAGAGAGAACACCTAACCTTAATAGATAAACAATCCTCCCTAAGAATAATAAATAGGTTACAGTAATGATTGATGATACCAGATATGATAGCTACATTTATTAGATACCTATCAGCTGCCAAGCACTGTGTTAGGTACTACAAAAAATGATGTCATGTAACCAACCAATCCTATGAGGTCGGTATTGCCACTTAACAGATGAAGAGGCTCAGAGAAATGAAGTAACTTCTTAAGGATCAGAGCTAGTAAGTGGCACAGCCAGAATTCAATTCAAAGCTCAAGATCTTTCTACTGCATGCTGCTGTATCGCAAGCCTAAAATTATGACAACAGCCTTAAAGATGTTTTGAAAATGCTAGAAATTAATCTCACCTACCTGTTGGATCTGTCCGGTATTCACTGGCTCAAGCTGTGGGGTTTAGAAAGATATTTTTTAAAAGAGAAAAAACAGTGGGCATGCGAGGAAAGAGTGGGTGGGAACAGAGTCAGGGCTGACTTGGGGATGAGGCCGTCCTTCTCCCTGCCAGGGTTCTCAGAAATCCGCCATATCCACACACTAGAAAAACATCTGTCAACCGATGACCGTCAAGACTGCAGACACCTTTGGATGATTTGAAAATGCAATACTAAAAACTGTTTTCCTAAAATAGGAACCCGAACTAGTTCTAAACTACCTAACCACCAACAATCCACCTTCATTGTTCTGTCACCGCCATTATTCAGTTCAGTTCTTCACTACTTCTTTTTTCCTGTAACTTGCACTTCCCTAACCTGCCTGCTCCCCTAAGCCGCAGAAACTCGTGTCACACACCCAGCTCCCTATTTTCCCCCCAGAGCGACCTAATCTCTCCCACATCCTGATACTTTTACTCACTCCACAGCGCCTCACACAAAATCTAATTCCCATCCCCCAAATCCTAGCCTCTCTCTTCACCACTCCCAGCTCCTCTGCCCCTCCTCCACTCCCAGCTCAGGCCCTTCCCAGCCCCCCAGAAATGAGACTTGCGACCCCCAGACCCAACCCCACCGCCACCTGCCTCCCCGCCCCGCCCTTTCCAGCCCCCATCCCTTCTGTCCCTCACCATCCATTCTTTCCTTCCTCTCACCCTCGGAGCTGCCCCTGGGCCCTAATCTCTCCATCTCTTCCCGTTTTGCGTCCCCAACCTTCAGAATCGCCTTCTTTCCCACCGCGCGCTGCCCAACTTATTTCTTCCCGGCCCCCAGGCCCCACACTTTCCCTATTCCGGTCCTTTCCTCTGTGCACCCCTCAAATCCTTCTCTGCTTCCCAGGACTCCAACCCAAGCTCCTCCCCAAGTCCACCAAGCTAATTTACTCCGTCTCTCGCCCGAACCCCAATTCTCACAAGCTCCCTGAGCCCCCGGCACGCCGCCGACCCCACCCTCGAGTACCCACCTCGCACACCCTTACATCTGCATCCTCGCACCTCGGCTCGGCGAGCTCCACCTCGTCCCTCGGGCCTTCCCCTCCCCCAGTCCTACACCCCGCCCCCGCCCCCACGCCCGGTCGGAGGCGCAGCGAGCTGCCCAGCCCGCGGCCGCCACCTACCTGTGCCCCTGCCCGGGGCAGCGAGCGGCCGCACCTCGCTGGCCGCTCCTTTCTCCAGAGCACGGCTGACCAGGAAGCGGCCCGGCACCCGGGTCACAAAGCTGGTGTGGGTGGGACACCAGAGACTGGCAAGAGGGCGGGGCTGGGGGCTACCTGGTGTAGTGGGACCGCGGGACCAGCGGGGCAGGGGAAAGCTCGG